CCGAGCAGGGCGCTGATCATCTGGAGAGGGCCCATACCACGGGGAGTATCTCCATGTCTCCAGAGCTGTTTGAGCAGCTGTACTTGGCGCCTCATAGCCGAGTGAAGGGTGATTTGCGGCAGAAGCTGGGTAATCCGACGCCATTGGGTAAGATACGATTAACTCTGTCGCTTGATATTACTGACTCTTCGACTAGCTTTGGGTGGCTTCTTGCTCTGCACGACTCCTGCTTCCATGGCATTGCTTGGATGGCGAGGTTCAGGAGGTTTTGGAGCTGGTGCAAACGTGTAAGTGTCACTGACCGTCTTCCAGAATCGTTGATCTAATCAATCTCTAGCGGCGCTTACTTCTGGTTCGGCGGTCTTCTCATGCTTCTCGGTAGCATCGGCGAATGGGTACAGTCACCTCACCCCTCGAGCGACTTCAACAGGCCAGCATTCTAACAAGCACAAGATTCTAGGAAACACCTTCCCCTCGGTCCTGTTCGGTCTCTTCGGCGGCTTCTGGTTCACCTTTGGTTCAACCATTGTCCCAGACTATAATGCCTACGGTCTATACTCCAAAACTGATGTTGTTGCGGACGGTCTGAAGGAAGGAGAGTTCTACTCGACCTTCTCGTTCTTCCTCATCTCGATGGGCATCCTCTGCGCCGTCTTCGCCGTCGCCAGTATCCGCACGAATGTGGTGTTGTTTACTATCCTCGTTATCCTGGTTCCTTGCTGTACGCTCCCCGATACTCCTGCTACGCGTTTTGTCGCTGACCGTTTCTCACTACAGTCGGCTGCCTCTCTGCCTCCTTCTTCGCTGTTGCAAATGGCGAGTCTGCTAAAGCGCTCACATACCAACACGCTGGCGCTGCGATCCTTTTCGTTGTATCCCTGTTGGGCTGGTACATCTTCCTGAGCCATATCCTCCTGTCGGTCGATTTCCCGTATATTCTCCCTCTGGGCGATCTCTCTTCCAGAATCCCTGGTGCCACCAAGGTCAAAAAGGATACACACTCTGAGGAGGAGAAGGTCTAGGGATTTGTTGGTATACAGATAGCATAGTGGTTTTACGATGGCTCTTTGACTGGGTCTAAACCTGGAGGATGCTGAATCCTGGGCGACGATGGAAAGGACAAAATTGGAGGAGGCATTAGCAATAGTTTAACACATACAAAATTGACACAACTGCTGGAATATACCGGGTTGTAAGTAATGGTCAAGGATAAAGGTTGCTTATCATTTATTTGATACCGTAACTGCTCAACAAAGTTCACCTTATGTTACATGACAGTCGCACCATTCGAGCCAGTGTAGTATTGCAAGTAAAACCCTCAGGGTCAGGATTGAGTTTAATGCTATGGTTCTCTTCTCAAAGAATAAAAGACAGTTGCACTGTATCGTCACATTCATTCTCAAATGCCGTCCACGGACAAACGGTCTCAGTTCCGACAGTTTGTTTGCGTGATCCACCCCCATCCCATTCCCCGCAAGGACTGGGGTACGCCCAGTCCACTAAACCAACCAACTAACCAATAACACTCACAACAATTGCAAAGGCTTCCACTAACGATGTCGTTGACTCGTAAACGGGCTAGCGCCGTGCGGGGAAAGAGGGCAGGTCGGTGGAACGGCCCTGAATATCTATGGACCAGTTTCTCTCATCTTGTTTCTTTCCTCTATTTTTTCTCCACTGACACTCGACTCGCACTATCTCTACCCAAGCTGTTGGTATTCTAGCCTTGTAAGACCCTCTTTTATTATCCTGGTAGGAAACGTCTGTTCTCAGGTGCAGCATGTCGGAGCCGAAAGTTAGGAGGCAAAACCACTCCTGCGACCACTGCAGGAAGAGCAAGAAAGCGTGCGATGGGTATATTCGCAATGAGAAGCCGGCAGTTTCACCTGATGCAACGTCGCCCACTTCTGGGTCGCAAATCTGTAAGTTCTAGCCATGCATACTACCCCCCTCCAGGCGTCAGGGATTGACCATGCCGCTTTGTTAGATGGAGGATCGGAACCAGGACTCAAGTCCTGCTCGTACTGTATCAGAACCAAGAAGGTTTGCAGTCTCAACCCACAGTGGGGAAAGACTCGATCAAGGTCTCGAGTTAGTGAGACAGGGTCGAGCATCACCAGCACCTCCAACGACAGCTCTCAGAGCAAGAGGAAGCGCAACGAGTCTCCTGCCACTACTACTGCCCCTTCACTTAACGCAAAATACTGCGACATCACTGCAGCGAATATGCTGCAGATGCTTCAGGACTCTACACCTGGGCAAGGTCTATCCTGGAACAACCCTTTCAGCACAGATATCCCTTCCTTTCTCTCCCTGGACCCAAACCTCGATGGCCAAAGCCTCGCGATGAGCTTCTCTAGTCCAGAGAGTGCTTCGCAGACTGTTGCAAAAGACACTATTGATGAAGGGCTGCCCGAACTCACAAAGCAGACATCCCATGCTGCAACTGACGCCTTGGACAACGCGACATCCTATTCAGGCTCACAGGACTTTGACATAAATAATCTCTGGGACTTGGACTTCTCAGATATCAACTCTGCACCACTAGACACGCTTTCATCAATAGAATCCCCGGCCTATGGACACAAAGCTGTTCAGGTGAAACGCAGAGCTCGGTTGCCCTCCAATGACTGGTCAGGATATCCTAACTTCTCACCGTCACCGTTCACTAGCGACTCTCTCATCATGCAAACCTCCAATCGATATATGATCACCGAGAGTCTTCTTCAGATATATCATGACGTCCTGGAGAATAACCTTGCATGCTGGCTAGCGGAGGAGAATTGCCCATATAAGCTACAAGTTGTCGCTCGCACTAGTCCAGCGCCAGAACCCAAGCTAGGTGCAACTCCAGGACCATCCCGACAAAATCCAAATCTTCCACCAGAATGGGGCGCCGCTTGGTCGAACAGGATGTATCGTCGCGTCGTGGAACTCGATCGGGCCGCACAGTCAGCGAGGTTGATCAACCTTACACGCTCTGAAAGCCAAGCAGCTTCTCGAGTACTGGACCTAGTCATAATGGCCTTCACAACACAATGGGCCCAGGGCAATCGTCGACAAGAAAAGTTCTCCATGGGGGCGAACGACTTTGCATCTGAAGCAGATGATCTAGCCGACGCTTTGAATCAAGAGTTTGAAGAGAGCTTACAGCAATCGGTATGGGAGCAAGCAAAGAGGGCACTTCAAGACGTGGTTGATGTCGAGTCATATCGCGTCATCTACGCTGAACTGATATTTGGTCTCACACAAAAGCCCTGGGCTAGCGATGAGTATCAACAGAAATCCTTTGGATCTAAGAAAGGAAAAAGTGGCAAGGGTATCAAAGAGAACGCGATGCCAGAGATTATCGAGATTATGTCTCAGGAAGGACCTCATATCTATTTGGAGCGGGCAACGAGGAAGATTCACGCTCTCAAGTTCAGGTTTGAAGCCAGTGAATCTGGTTTCATGGAGACGAGCAAAAAGCACGCTCCTCGGAGGTTAACTGAGGAGAACAGGCGGACCATCGGGCTACTTTACTGGCTCGCTGTCATGTTTGATACAGTATCTTCATCGATGAATGAACGGCCAGTTGCACTAGCTGATGAAGACTGTCAACATGAAGATGCAGATCAAATACTGGCAGACAGTATGCGGGCAGCTCAGAAGAGTCGACGAGGAAGTCAGCGATGGGAAATGGAACTGTTTATCCAAGATGATGCAACGAAACCAACAGTCGGAACACGGTGGCCATGCTCATATGATGATGCGATGCAAATGGTTGCCAAGTCAGCACCTGTTAAGATCCTTATCTATCGACACTTATCGTATCTTCAAAACGCGCTGCGAAAACGAGAATGTCCCCAAGCAATCGAGGAGATTATTCAGCAAACGACCCTCCTATACCGGTACTGGAACATGACGCACGGGGCCTTCTTCCGAGATCTCATAAGACACTACGATACTGTCCCGCCACGAATTAGAAGTTGGTTCTTCTGCATCGCAGTACCATGGCATCTAGGCGCATTAATGCTCGCAGACGTCCTCGAGTTCATCGACAAGAACAACTATGGCCTCGACCAAGCCCGTCAAAAACGACTAAGCGGCAACGTCGCAGCACGAATCCGCAAAGCCAGCGCCATCGAACTCGCCGACCTCGCTCAAGTAACAACACCGCGACTGTTTCAAGAAGCTGGTATAAACGCAGCGCAACTTCCAGATTACCATTTCGCTGTTAGTGAGGGACCGTTATTGACGGAGCCTTGGACTGTCATCCTTATCAGAGGGTTTACGAAAGCGTGTTTGTTTCATTTGGACATGGCGGATGATTTTCAGCAGCACGAGGGGGATCTTTTGGGTCATGATAGTGAAGATTTTCAGGATAGTTTGAGGAGGGCGGAGTATTGTATTAGAGCGCTTTGGTGTCTGGGGAAGAAATCGGAGATGTCGAGGAATATTACCAAGGTTTTGGTTGGGGCGTTACAGGAGCTGCAGCTATAATCGTCTGAGCATTTAGGTTTCCCGGGATGTTGTTAGGCACAGCGAGAATTGAAGCTTTTGACAATCAAGTTTGGATACTGGGATTCAGAGCCTCGTTTTTCCCGACCCAGCGATTGTGACTGCTAGGAATATTGGGGCGAGCGGCATGAGGATTGAAGTGATAGGTTTCACTGGCTGATGCGTTGTACCAATCGCGAGCGAGGCCAAGACGCATTTACATTGAAGTGCTCACCGAATTCGTAGCAATTGGCTGAAATATTTGCGATGATGCATGAGCTGAAAGCAGGGTTGTTAAACAGGCGCCTAAAACAGTCACCTACAGGGCAAATTGCCCCATAGACACAGGAAAACGCAAGTCAGATCATGTCGTATAAAGGCTGCTGGATAATCACTCAATGTGCCCCCGAAATAATTCAATTCTTGTTCTCCATCATATTGCAAGCCTTGTAGAATGACGAAGCTGGCACCCAACAATGCCAAGCGAATCCCAACACTACCAGTCGATAAAGGAGGACACAATGAATATTGAGCTTGAACCGAGACCCGTTTCACGGGTAGGAACAACACCCGAAGCGCACAATGACACCGCCGAATTGGAGCTTCCACAAGCTGACATCGATAATGGCCACGATCAAGCTGGTATCATGTCATCACAGGATCCCGAATCCAGAGCCCAAACTGTACATTCATCCCCCAAGGAAAGTTGTGCTCATGAACGCTTAGGGCAGGAAGAAGGGTCCCAAAGCCACACGAGTCAGGAGGTTATCGATGGCAATGTGCATCCGATTGATCTGAATGATCAAATCCTCCTCTCTAAAATCAGAGACCTGCTGATTGCCAGGCTAGATCGTGCCAGGCAGGTGGCCGGTAGCACGGTAAGAAGTACTGAGTCCAGATGGATGCGAGATACGTTTGACGCTGATAACAGCGAAACTCCGGACCCACTTTGGTGGAGCGATGATTACATTGGGGGTGCTTGGCCTGCGAGTCGGGATGTCCCAGGGGTAGTGCAATATATAATCGGGCATGGTGCCGAAGTCCTATCTCACTGGTCATCGCGTTGGCGGACACAGATGGACGATCAAAATACACCGTACGACAGGATTGAAAGCGTATGGCGTGACTGGTGCTGCGCAGCCAGAGAAGTACGATTCGCACGTTCCTACTGCTGCATATGGACTGATCGCAACAGGAAATGTGTGGCACGGTTGGAAACTCGTCTTCAGATCATAGGATTGGGAGGATTGGAATTATAGGCAAGATTGTGTAAGTAAGGTAAAACGAGCCATATATCACGACTTGGCAGGCCTACATGCAGGACGTGGTGGCTGAGCCCTTTTGCTAGTTATTGTGCGTCGAATGAGTTCCAAAAGGGAGCCCGAGGCTTCCCCATACCCATTCTTGCTTGCGGTTTAAGCTTCGAGGAGCCCTTCCGCTTATCAAGCAGCGAGATGGCTGACTTGGATGTGGGAAAATCGACATCATTTCTTTCCACGGACTTTCGAGGGGGATACAGCGTGCAAACCGACCATGATCTACATAATGCTATTCATTGGCAAATTCGCTATTTCAGCCCAGTTTACCAGATCCGAAACAATAGAACAAGGAGTCTATTTAGCAAGCGGCAAACAACGAGGTTGCAACACGGGTCAGGGATAACCATCCTGCAGGAGAAGCGAATTGTGGTAAGTTTTCGAGTTCTGAGGGAAACTTCGAGACTCTTCAGCATACTCGTCCTCAAGGATGAGGACATGTTTCCAGATGTTCAATCACCGGATCAGCAATTTGACGTTAAATCGTTTTGGAAAGGCTATATCGACTTTGAACTGCACTATATACCCCCCCTTACGTATTATTTACTCGAGATATGCAGAGCGTTCAAGATGTGTATGGATGCTTGGGAGGAGACCCTAAGTACCATAGATAAGCTTGTCCTTGTCAAGGTAAGTTGAAGATGCTTTAGCCTCTCTCTTCCTGACGAACCCTACTGACCTGCTTGATAGTTAGAAGACTTGGATAATCTTGAAAGGGTAGAGGAGCTTATGTTTGATAGTTCTTTTAAACGTTCTAGGGACTACTTTGTTGCTCTCCAGATTTTGAGAATTATCGACGAGTGGCTGGATGAGGTTCAGTCAACTGTCGAAGACATGTCCAAAGATCATGTCCTATTAAAGGCATCTATGTGGGATGATGGCTATACATCAAATCGTTCTTTCGGAGTCGCTGTTCGTTATGTGAACGAACATGCTACTGCAACCAAGAGTCGGGTTCAGAAGAAACGGGAAGAAATCAACAGTCTTCGGGATGGTGTAAGTCCATGTCACCAAATTATAGTATGAGGTGTTACTAATACTCTTGTTACAGTTGTTCAATGCCACATCTCTTCGAGAGTCTACCAAGGCTATGGCATTGAACCAGGCAATTTATGTCTTCACTGTTGTTACGGTACTCTTCACACCAGTGAGCTTCTTAGCGGTATGTAACGCATAGAATATGAGTTTAGTATTACATCTGACAAGCTAGACGTTTTGGGCTTTGCCGTTCTTGAACAACCCAGCAGAGGGCAGTGGTACGATACCAGAGCCTTCAGCATTTCGCAACAGCTTCATTATCATGCCTATCCTCACCTACGCCCTGGTCATTGGTGTCGCGTGGGTCGTGGGAAAACGCAACAGTGTCCGTGCACTATTGGATCTGCTCAGAAAATATTGGGCAAAATCGACGTCGCTCATGAGATCCGCATGGAGCTCGCGTCCATGGATGCCCTGAAGATGAAGGGGTCCTCTCCTTACTCTGGGACCTGGTGAAAGTTCGGTAGGCATCAGAAAGCAACGATGGATTGAGATATAGTATTACTGTCATATATCTCACTGTCAAATTGTCTCGGTGTCTTGATCTACCTGTTTTTGACCGTCAGCTGGATTCACTATTTCCCGCATTCCACCTTATCTAAATAGCGAAAACCCACGTTCCTCGTGATCAAACTCCCCAGTGACTTCAGCAATGTTGAATTGAGAAACCTGGAACGTCGACGAAAGGGACAAGAGACTCATGGGCTTGTTGTCCGACATGATGTTCGAGACTTTGTCTGGAATTCGCAGGACGTGCAGAGAAGGGAATTTACCAGTACCGCTAGACTGGTGTTGATCTTGGAGCTTTCTGTAAGCCTCCTTGAGAGCTCGTTCCTGGCCACCCTTCTCACCGATCGCATATACCAAAGCTCCTTGAATTTGCTGCGCCAAGTAGATGTTTGGCTGGAGCTGACTGTGGTCGACAGTCTTGGTGTTCTTCGCCTCAACGACGTAAGTAGTTCCGCCTTCGTTGTAGATCATGTCTAGCTCTCGGTACTTGTTGCCCTGCAAAGGAACAGTGATCATTTGCGAGCTGCCATTCAGACCCTCTCGCTTCTCCGAATCAGTGAGGGGTCTGGAGATCTGGTTACCATGCATGATCTTATAATCTTGGACGAGCTTGTATGCCGTGAATATCTCATGGTATAAGCCTCTGTCAAGCTTGCCGCCCGCGCGAGATGAAAGGCCTGCGTTGAAGATGTCGATCATGACATTGATACGAGCCCGTGGATCCTCTTCAGTTGGAGGAACGCTGGGATAGACGATGACTGAATTATGGCTCGACATGCTGATGAAAAGATGATGGGAGGGCTTTGACTTGAGGCTGAAATGAGGGGCATTTAGTCCTTGTATGGATTCGTGCAGAAAACTGGATGCATGTAAGACCAATCATATCAGCGTTGCACTTTGAAAATGCAGATTGCTGCCTGATGAGACAACTAGATGCCTCAATAGTGGGATCCATGTGTTATTTGCAGTTGAGACTTGCGGGTGAGAGTTTAAATCAGCAGAGTGAACTTAGAGGCTTAGAACAGTGAGCTTATAGTCAACACATAAAACGTCCTGGATATAGCAATCGCTATTGGTGGTGTGTCTTATAAGTAATAATATTATGCAAAGGCTACCTGCTCTGCGTCATAAATAGTTAAATTCTGGTATAAGCCACAGCCCAGTATCTGCACTAAAGTCAAATGCCTCAAGTCCGGTCATAGGTCTGATAGAGTTCTCAGCCATATCCCTTTGACTAGGTCCTCCCTGAAGATGGGCTATAGGGCCACTTTGAGGACCATGTCCATCACTCTGCTCCACCGCCCTATGTGAAACTTGCGAGGTAGCCGATTGCGAGTATGAGTCTGTTTGAGATAGCGACTCTTGGCATGCGGCGAGGTAACGCATCTTGATCGCTTCCCAGCCCGCGAGGGCGTCGCCATACCAGTTACGCAGGTGCTCCGATGAACCCATCCCCAACGAGAGTTCCTTCACCCGATGTGAGATAGCATCGATGTATTCATCGAGCTTTATGATAGAGCGGGCGGATTCACTGCTCCATCCTAGGGTCTGTGTCGATAGAGATATTGAAGCTGTAAGAAGGATTGAGTAACTCAAAAGAGCCCAATGTGTGGATGGTAGGCTGGGGACGCTTTCTGGAGGAATAGCTAGGAATGTGTCGAAGTAGCCCTTTGTGCTTGTGAGCGCGTCCATAAGAATGCGGATCCGAGCCATGGAGAAATCAGTACTTCGTGCCATCCCTGACAGGCACAATTCCCGGACGAAAGCTTCTAAAAGCCAGGGCCAGATTTGCTGGCAGGCTGACAGGCGGTTAGCTGAACTTTCACTACCGAGCACGTTTTCAATATTGCACTGACGATCTTGTGCAAGTGAAGATGGGAGGCGGAGTTGCCAGTCCTGCACTTTGACGAAGAATGCATTGAGGTAGACCTGTATCTGCTGCTCACCCATAAACTGAGTCTGCTGAATATCGGTGTAGTTGAAGAAGGTATATGCCTTCTCGGCCTCGCGAGCAACCTCAGGATGGAAGACGAGATCTAGATCTGACGGGGTTTCCTTTGTGGTAGCGAGAGACTGGGCGCATGTGTATAGATAATCGTTATATATCAACGGACTCGACTTCCGTGTCATTATTGAATACCTTTGTATATTGGTCAGCAGTTTGAGCTCGGCAAGATTCGCCTAGTAACCAGGTAGTCATTTGATAGCAGCCTAGGTAGGCTCGTCTAGCAACGGGATCCCAAAGTTCCGCATCAACTGCGGACAAGGCCTTAGGTCTTTCAACAAAGGCCGCGACATTTAACTGCTGATGTTTGTTTTTTCCGGGCCACTGAGTAATACCAAACTCAACCGCCATCGATGCTGCGATGGACGCAAGACGGTAGGCTTGTTGTGTCTTTGGTGTTGTGTGCAAGTGGATCCTAGATAGAAACGCATTTTAGTAAGTAGACGTAAAGGTATTTTGGTTACAAGGCATGTTTGCTCACCAATTGAGGTACACCATCAACCCTCTCAACAGGTCCATATCTCGGTCACCTTCTAGGACGAGTTTAGTACCGAGTGCCTTGAGAAATACTTGATTCAGACGATCCTGCTGGCCTCGTAGCTTCCAGGACGTTGTGATAAGGATCGCCAAGAGGAGCATGGGGCTTGTCCGTTGGAGAGCGAGTGACGTTAGGCCCTCTGGTATGATCACGTAAGGGAACCTCGGAGCAAAGGTTTCACGATAATCTGCAAGTAAAAGGTCTGCCTGCTGTACAGACACGATATCGTGGATCACGTTGTCAACAGTAGATTGCTCAAAATTTGGTGATGGAGCTCCGGAGGATGGAGGTGCTTCCGAATCAGCGAGGACAGACGCAAGCGAGCTTGGGTCGTTGCCGGGGAGTAAGGACATAACCCTCCCAACTTCCCGCTCCAGCCGCTCAAGTCTTGACTCATTGACTAAAGGGGAGAAGAGTCAGATAAATATTGTCTTGATCTCGAGGCAGAGTGAGCGAAGTCTGCTGACCTTTCTTCCTGCGCCGCCGAGGACGTGATTCAGGGATTACACATTCCAGTTTTCTCTCCAGGCACCTTTATAAATATGACGGTCAGTACTTGGAGTGGATCATGTACTATGGAACACGTCGTGACAGTGTTATCACACTTACCTTTGACAGGTCCATGGCGGGCCATTGCTCATGAGGCATCGCAGCTTCTTCGCTTTACAGCTTGCGCATGCACGTGTTGAATGTGGAACCTGCGGCTCCCCGGACATTTCCATATCAAAGAGGATTATGGGACGCGTATGACCTTCAGTCTCGGCAGTATTTCTTCTTGGCACGGATGTGTTCTCTGACCGCGAGAAGTTGATTGACTCTTCTGTTGAGAGTAAAACTAAGCGTAGCTTCAGCTTGATCGCGTTTCGGAGCTTCCGAGTGCAAATGGTAGGTCCATCGATCCACATTTGACAGAAGGGATCGACGCTCTGATACGTCAGGTTTTGTAGCGTCGGAGCGTCGGAGGTTATCCAACAGCCGACGTTAATCAACACCCGAGGTCTCAGGAATTCTCTTTACCTACCTTAGTCAACTATGTGCCATGCAACAAAAAAGCATACAATAAAGTTTAGAGCCCAAAAGATTCTCGACTGTCGAGTCTATTACGTCTAGATAAGAAGGGATTCTATGTTCTATATACTAAGTTATGTGACACTTTCCAGTCATGGGATTCTATGGCTGGGCTGTACGGGCAATTGGCAAGCCCGTGAAGCGTAGCCTAGTCCATTCCTAATGAAGCCAGTCCAGTTCATGTCCTGGTTTATTTTCGAGGTCTTGTAGATGAACCAGCCTGCCCTGAAACAAGTGTACGTTTCTTGGCAGACTACTCTCCCGAGTATGCATATTTCGAGTGCTTGCGAATGGCGGCCCCGTATTTATAAAAGACGATGGGAATGAAGCAGCAAGCTAAAGCAAGGAAGCCAAGTAAAGACGATGCCCACCGGGGATTGAGATTGTGGTACCTATTCGCGCAGTCAGTGCCTAGTCAAAAGGGTAATATGGCGGCTATAGATTTACATCTGCGTAGTGAAAAGAACAGTCGATCCACCCCAAATTGAGCGAACAAGTGTCTTGGCCGCCAGCGCCGAGGCGGCCGTGTGTTGATATGCATCTACGATATAGTTGTTGAATGAATTGTAGAGAAAGACGAATCCAATGCCGATTGGAAGACCGGCGAGGCATAGCCCGACCCATGTGAGGTCATCGTACGAAGTCCAGGCAAACTACAAGTAAGAGTGTGTCACCCTGACCTGAAGCACAAAAGGACATATAACAGGTTAAGAGTGGGTACAAACTCACGATAAAGACACCAATTGGGATTAGCCAGCAACCCCAGATCATTGGGATCAAGCGGAGCTCAGGCGGTGGATGACCGGTGTGCTGCGACCGAAGTTTGTTGTAGTGAGCGTTTACAAACGGTGCCCCGACGAGGCCGACGACGATGCCCCCTGATATGGGAATAAACATGAGCCCCGCAATTCCAGGCGAGTAGCCTTTGCCCTCTTCGAAGACGATCGGATACCTAGAGTTTATCAGCAATGCTAGACAGGGATATCGAAATGACAAACATACGCCACGAAGAACATGTAGAGAAGTCCATACAGTATAGCTGCATAGATGGCGAACAACGTGACAATCGGCTCTGTCACTAACAGCCTGAGAGGCCGGGCGAGATAAATCTGCGCAATTTCCCCAAACGTGTGCTGAGCAAGTTCGTGTTCCGCAAGATAACTATTGTCTCCAGTCTTCTTCCGCAGCTTCTTGGCTCTCTTTTCGAGATTGACGGGGGCATAGGTTTCGGGGACGAGGACGACGAGACACACAAACAGGGAGCCGCAAAGAATAAGTTGTAGCCAGTACAGCCAGCGCCATCCTTTATTCTCGTACACAAAACCGCCAATCATCGGGCCTATAAATGGGTCAGCTTTGGACAGAAACCGTGGGCGCTGTCTATTTCATACCCATCATCGGTCCCAGGAAAGGGGCAGCACTGAACGCTGTCATCGGAATTCCGCGTTCTTCAGGTCGCCACATGTCTGCAAGACTACCGCCAATCTAACAAGGCAACACATCAGAGTTATTCAGCAAGATACAGTTCTTGGTAAAGACTCACATTTGCAACGGGCACACTCATAGCAATGCCATCAATGGCCCGACACACCAGCAGCGTCTCGATATTCTGAGCCACGGCACACGGGACTATGAAAATAACCGCAACACCAAAGGTCAGTACATAAATGATGCGTCTCCCGTAAAGTTCTGACAAGGGACTAAAGACAAGAGCTGTTTTTTCTGTCAGTAATCTTGCCCTAAGGGATGTTGTTGTAAGGGCAGACCTACGCCCAATGCCAAAACCGTACACAAAGAGAGTGATTGTCAGTAAAGCGACTTCACTCGACGTATCGAAGCGCTCAACAACGCCAGCGATGCCTGGAGTTATGACTGCCGAGGCAAACGCTACCGCGAAGCATACCCAGCTCAAGGTGAGAGTGACGGTCCAATTTCGCGCCTTGGACCAGTTCTTGGGGTTACTTGGATCGTTGGCACTGAAGCAAACGATGTTGCAGATTTTAGCTTCGCCTTCTCTGGTTGTTATTTCTCTCGTCTCGTAGTGGCTGTGTTGCGATTCCACGATATGATTGACTGTATTGCCTCCCCCATCGGCGATAGTGTCGGATGAGGTGTTGTCGGCTTGATAACCAGGACGGAGCATCTCGCCGGGCTCCCTATGGTGAATGTCAGCAGACTTAAGTAAGGTGCAGGATCCGTGGGAAATTGGATTACAAATCACTAGGAAAGTCGACTTTTTCATCTGCTATGTTGGCAGACGACTCGTTGAAGGAAGGCTCAGGAGGGGCAGCCATTATATGCGGTTTTCTGAGAGCTATTAGAAAGGAAGAAGTTATGTTAGATGACTGGAATGGAATTATGGGAGATTGAGAAGCTGAGAACCCTCCGTACTTATACCACTCTATCTTTGGGTCAACACTTAAGCCGTAGTTTAGCATCCATTTTGATGTCGGAAGGGCCGAGGCGCCGAAGGTCCGAAAGTGCTGATATCGGCGATAGTTAAATACATCGCTTAATGCCATAGCTTTTAGTGTAACTGCAGATTTATTTTTATAGTTAGGACTTACAGTTAAGAGGTTAAATTGATATTAAGCTCTCTTTATTAATTTAAGCTTTTAATTATAACTTAAGTCTCAATTATAAATAATATCTACAATGGGTTTGGCCTAGACGTACAAATTTCAACACCCATCGATTCCAGAGACCAAGATCATGATGTTGGATAATGCCTTTTGATGGTAGAAACTTAACATTCAACAAACGAACCAAGTCAATTTCTTTGTATTTGCCTCCGATTATACTCCCTCGTGACAGTCATTCGTTTTAAATATCTTACTTAGTATCTCAACGAATGGCGTCTCAAGAGGCGTGAGCTTATCAAACTGTAAACAATGCTCAAGAGCACCGCTGTCGCCTAATCACCGACAGGGATATCATGAATAACGCCCAACCTGAGATTGCTGGAAGTATAAACAATAGAGTGACCGAAAATATCTCGCAGTCGCGGATTTTGTCATGCCACGAACTTGGTAGTCGAATATGGGTTGGTTGATGTGCCAGCAGTGCTTGTGCAATTTCACGAATGTGCGGTAGAAGACTTTGCCTGTTTTCCGATGTCGCCAGCGTTTCTAAAAGGCGTTCAAATTGCTGTTGCCCGACCATGTGAAACACGAAACTTGCTACTGGTAGACCAAGAGCTCCCCCGAGGGATCGTGAGGTGTATAGCAGGGACGTTGCTGAAGCCTGTATGCTTACGGCGGTGGAATCAAGCATCCTCACTAGACTGGCAGTAGCAAGGCCACCAAATCCAAACCCCCATAAGAATATGAAGACTAATTGGTATGTCAGAGCATAGGTTCCGTGTGGAGTCAATGGTACCCCGAGAGTTCCGATAAAAGCAACCGCCGAGGAGGCTAGCAACAAATGTGACGTGTTGAATCTGGATGTAAGGGACCCAGCAAAGAAAGAGCCTGCCGCTGCGCCCACGCTCAGGGGAACTAGACACCAGCCAATAATTTCCATCTTGGTATGCTCTTGAAGCGAAATAAAGTATGGCAAGTAAAACTCAGAAATTGTAAAACCGAACTGTGATAGGAATGTGATGAGGCAGCTGTATCCAACACTTGGTGATTGAGTCAGGAGCGGGAGGGGTAAAAGGGCATTTTGTGTCATGAAGACGCTGTGATACGAGAAGATGGCAAGCATAATGAAAGAAATCACAAATCCAAATGAAACCAGCCTTAGATCCAAGTTCGAGCTGCAAAGCTCTAACTGCTCGCTCGATGCCAATAATGACCCTAATCCTAAGCATAATAGGATAGCGCCCACCGCGTCAACCTTTCTTCTGGGCGAGTTGAGCTTAGGAATCAATGGGACATCCTCGTTACCAGTGGCTGTCGACTCCTCTGCGACGGATGCAGTGGTAGTGGTCTGATTAGGCCTCCTGGCTGGTTCTGGTAGGAGTGTCGTCCCGAGCATAATAAGAAACGCAGGAACAGAAAGGCTCACGAATGCAACTCGCCATGACCAGCGATGTGCCACGAGTCCCCCAAAAAGACCTCCAGATCCATGGCCGAATCCAAATACGATATTGTTAATGCCTTGCCATATACCCCTTGCTTCAGGACGAGTAACGTCTGTCAGAACAATAGTGGCCATGATAGTAAGTATACCGCCTCCAATTCCAGATAGGGCTCGGCCAAACACCAGAAGCGCAAGTGACTCTGCAATACTGCATGTGACATTTCCCAAAAAGAAGGCTACACTTCCAACTAGCAGACATGCCCTGCGTGTGTAGATATCTGAAAACTGACCACACAGAGGTTGGACAAGAGCGGTCGCGATGAGATAGCTAGCACCTAGCCACGATACAACCGACGGCGACTCTAGGTCACTCATGATCGTGTGCGTCAAGGTTGTCACAATAGTGCTATCTGGAATCATGAATTCGTTAGAAACGAACCTCTTCCGCATGAATGGCGATTGATCACATTCCACTGACCAAGAGCACTGACTAGACTTGCTAGGAAGAGAATGCTTAATATGAAAATTGTCCGTGGTGTCTTCGACCATTTCGGCATTTGAGCTGGATTCCCGGAAATGGGACCGCATTCAGCGTCTGCGATGAAAGGCGTTGCGACGGTTTCCATTGTGTATACGGTCAATATGACCAAAGTGAGCGATGGTGTATGATTGAAGCTGGGAGGTGGTAAGCCTTTGAGTAAAGCATAAAATGGGAAAATACCTATTTAGTGCTCAGCTCAGGCTATAGAAACTGTGATCTAGAATGGTTACGTATACTCGCATATCTAAGAGGCCCTAAAGAGTAACAAAGCAGCATGCATTTGATAACCAGTTGATGAGGTTGTTACTACTTGACACACCTTTGCGTGCTTTGCGATCGCGTGCATACTTGTGGCTGACCACCTCAGAATTCCCGACTTTCTTCATACTGATGTCAGCTTGACGTTACTTCGGCCTTGGGTAGGGCGTTGGTCCATAAGAATCGCATCCAACGACCTGTGAGCCATAGATACCGCACTGAGACATATCCTGTGAGACCGTCAACACACTGCATCTGCGGGGCGTTCCCCGTAGGGAGTGCGTGGGGACATGCGTGAGTAGGTGCATGTATCGACACCCATTGACTAGATCGAAATATTCTTTCTACTCATGACCCGTAGAATGAAAAACTCCTGGCACATTGGCAACCACTACGACTGCATTATGAAGTCATTTAGATGCCAAATAATGATGCAGTACCATACGGCCGAATTAACGGCATCCATCAACACCATCATAGTCGTTTGCCAGGTTGCGTGCAGGCTGCGAACTCGCAACCAGTCCTCAAGACATCAAAAATTGATCAAGTTTTATATTTCAATGACGTGTTTTAGTACCTATGTATTCTTTGTCGGGAGAGCACTCTTAGATTAGGTCGTTCATTGAACAAATACTATAAAACATGGAAAATACCAATTGTAAAAACAACTCATAGTACCTTTTTATTGAATACCTCAAACATCCTTTTACCAGATACAAGAATAAGAAATATTGCACCCTATTCTATCCCTTTACAATGTCTCAAGTCATCTCAATGCCAACCTTCACCGTGACCTCTGTCCATCAGACAGAACAAGTCCCAAGAGATGTTCGCGAGCGTATACTGCGCTCCGTTCAGTACAACGTGTTTGCATTCCCTGCTTCGCTTGTTGCAGCAGACTTCCTTTCGGACTCGGGTACTGCTGCGATGACCACGAACCAATGGTCTGCTATCATGCAAGGCGACGAGAGTTACGGCCGTAACTGTGGCTATTATTATTTTCTCGAGGCTGTGCGAGACATCTTTGAACGCGGGGAGCATCGGTTAAATGCTTTCCAAGAGATGAGGCCAGATCTCAAAAGCAATACCGCCTTTGAACGTTACTTGGATTACCAAGAAGGAGGCTTTGTCAACGGCGGCCTCGCACAAATGACCCGCCCCAATTGTTTCCTCGTTCCTCAAGGCCGGTGTGCGGAAAGCCTCTTGTTCCAGGCTACCGCTCATGCCTTTTCTCAACCGGATAGTCAGCAGCCTATTGTAATTAGCAATGGCTTTTTTGATACAACTTCGGCCAACGCATCAGCGGCTGGCTTTCGCCTCATGACATTCGCCCAGGAGGGCTGGATGCACTCGGAGCCTATTCAGGATTGGCAGAACAAGAATACCTTCAAAGGTAACCTGGACATTTCTGCTGCAGAAAGGTTTTTGTCAAACAGAGAGCCGCAGGACCGCGTGGCTCTTATCTTACTGACGATCACGAACAATTTTGCGGCAGGGCAGCCTGTGTCCATGGAAAACATCAGAGAAGCGTCGCGGTTGTCAAAGAAATTCAATGTTCCTCTGATTTTTGACGCCTGCCGGTTCGCAGAGAATGCAATGTTCATTAAACGACACGAGAGGGGTTACAAAGATTCCCCAATTCCCGAAATCATACGGCAAATCTTTTCTGAGGCTGATGGTTTCACCATTTCGCTGAAGAAAGACGGCCTCGCCAACATGGGAGGCATTCTTTGCCTTCGTGACGGTGGCAAGTACACGACCAAGCACCCAGGCATTGGTACTGCCATCCGGGAACAGCAGATTCTCCGATATGGCAACGACAGTTATGGTGGTATGAGCGGGCGTGATCTTATGGCTGCCACTGTCGGGCTTTACGAAGGCACCAAGGAGAGTTACCTTTCGTCTCGTATCGACCAGGTGAACAGGTTTGCTGAAAAACTTGTTGAAGCACAGCTGCCTGTCTTGTTGCCACCAGGCTCCGCTGTTTTCTTGGACATGGATGTCTTTTTTCAAGATTGCAATCGAAAGTATGAGGAGTTTGCGGCCTTGGGGTTTACTTTGGAGCTTCTGGGATCCTACGGGGTACGGGCATTCGAGCTCGGCCCTTTTGCCTCAGAGTGGGATAATTTAGAGGATGAAGAGAAGGCCAAGGAATCGACCCCTAACCTTGTGCGATTCTCAATTCCGCGGAATGCCATGACAGACCAACACCTGGACTATACTGTCACTGCCGTCAAAGAACTGATGGAAAAGCGGCATACCATACAAGGTGTCCGGGTCACTCATGGTAAGAATCTGAGGTTGCGCCATTTTCAGGCCGCTTTCGAGCCCATTCCGATTAGTTCAACATCTTGACTAGACTTAAATTGATTTATTTGTGTCTCGCTTAATCTTATCTTACAATTAGTTGCGTGCGATAATTGGATAACAGTGGTGACATTTGGAAAACTAGTTGTAACATATTTTCTTCGGCAATGTGTCTACCTCAAGGCACCGTCTTTGCTAAATGAGATGTTGGACAGACCCAATCTGACCTAGAGGATATGGCATATTCCCATGCCTCGAAAAACAGACAAGCCCCCCTGCTCTTGTTTCCAATATACCAAGGGGGAGCTATCCTTGCGAATGTGTCACTAGAAAGATTGACAATTGTAGATAATGCATCATAAGAACAGTCCAGACTCTTACAAAGTCCCGCACTTGCCTTCACAAACCCTCTAATGTACAACGCAGTGGAAGGCCTCGTTTATAAGATCCGCCTACCTGCAGAAAGACACAGGAATGATCGGCCAAACATTAAGGTCGAGAGACTAAACCCTGGAGTAAGAGTCCGATTCCCCGAAAACCTCTTGCAACATGAATGCTCCTCTAGGAGGTGAAGTGAGGTATTTTCAAACAAACCTAGCGTCGAATTGCATTATTTCTAGCATAGTCGACAGGGCCCTCTACAATCTTGATCCATGATAAGGTCACGAATGTACAGTGAATACCTGTGAAATATGTGGTTCACTTTCAGTGGATGGTTATGGACATGCATGGTTTGAGACACGGCAGGAGAGAGACACGGCACGGCAAGCCACAAGCATCGCAGGTCTGCAAGAGTCTCACCGCTCAACCAACTTTTGACGTCATACAGGCTAAATTTCGTTCAGGAGCTGTATGGAAACCATGTGGTCTATCAAGTCTTGACATTTGTCAAAGGTTTTCCATACTCCATACAATCTTACCAAAGATGCCATGTTGGCGGTGTTGGTTTCTAGAGAAATCGAGTGGCTTACAGAGGCAAGGGTTTACCTGGTGGATAGATTTGGCATGTCACTGTGACGATATCCACTAAAAGTATGTCGCAGAATTCAGCGCAGTGGTTACTGAGTTGACCTGGCCTGTTGACTTGTATGTAGATTAGGCACCAACCCCCATCGCCCCAGTTCATGTGCACATTAATTAAGATAGAAGCCCAGAATATTATAGTGCTTTAGTATTATTATCTTTATATTCTACTTAGAATACCCCTATATAAGTAGGAATTTACCAAATATAAGCTGCTATAGCTTGTTAAGATACTTCTTTATTAACTATATCTAGCACTTAACTTACTTACTATTATCTATAATATGGTTAACTATTTATAGTAATATGCCTGCTAGCCTTGTTGATTTCTTGGTGCTTACCTTTCACTATACGACAAGTTCTTCTACTATTCATTATTCCAATTTCCTATCTGTAATACTGTCTCAATACTGAGTGTTATGGACCTAACTGAGTGCACTGGAAATTGGCTAGTAAGCGCAAGTCATTTAGCTTGCATACCAGCTGTTTGTATACATCCTGGGGCTTTAATTTGCTTTCTGTTGCCTCACCCTTACATGAACCATTGATGCTGAACTTCATTGTCGTGCCAATAACCAACTTGTCACCCCGAGCCATCTCACTTCTGACGCATGCGACTCCTTTATAGACGTCAGCTAAATCCTGTCATAGTATGATGATTGATAACGAGACGAGCCTTACCATGCGCAGCACAATCCAATAAGACCTTAGGCCGTCCCGTTTTATTTTTCATCCCAGGTAAAGTTCCATAGAATTCGGGATGCTCATGCTCATTAGAGTTCAATTTGACAAACCCATAGCTATTCCCGCGTGATTTCGAAATAGCAATGAGTCCCTCTTGTGAAATGCCCAAATATTGATGGCCCGAGGAAGCCGAATCAATGGCCTGAAGAGTCGGAAGGAGATCGTCGCTCTTATTGACGGAAAATGCGACTGGAAAAGGCAGTCCAGAGACGAGGGCTGTGTGGGATTGAGAGCTGGCAAGCTTCGAGTTGCTAATACCTAACGACAAAAGATCATCAAAATAGTTATGAGCAATGTTATCGTTAACATCACAAGCAATTGGTATCCCTGAGGATGAGGCTTTGTGAAAATGCTGACGCAAAGCGTGTAGTGATTTGTTGATATTGCATGTAGTGACATCGTCAGTGGTGCTGTGTATACCCGTATTCGAGTGCGGAACTGCAAGATAGTCAAGTTCCGAGTAAAGCACAATCAAAAGATCTTTTGAAAATGCTGAACAAAG